GGTAGGGGAGCTGTATAGTGGGTAGGGGAGCTGTGAGGTGGGTAGGGGGGCTGTATAGTGGGTAGGGAGACTGTGAGGTGAATAGGGGGGCTGTATAGTGGGTAGGGGGGCTGTGAGGTGGGTAGGGGGGCAGTATAGTGGGTAGGGTAGCTGTATAGTGGGTAGGGGGGCTGTGAGGTGGGTAGGGGGGCTGTATAGTGGGTAGGGGGCATTTGAATGGTGGGAAGGGGGCTGTAAAAAGGTAAATACCTTTCAGTGTCCTCTTGGTCCGATGGCAGCTCTCCAGAAACGTGCATGGGGGCAGAGCTTGTTTGCGGGAGGCGGAGCTTCTGTTAGGAGGCGGGGCATGCGGCCGAAATTATTTTAGAGTGTGCAGGGAGACTGAGAGGTCTCCCTGTGGCCACTGGCAGCCACACCAGCCCCCAGCTCCTTCCTTCATAATGATCATTAGGGCTGTCAGCCAAGCCCCAGCTGGGCCAGTCCGGCCCTGCCACCCACTCTCTCAATCAGAGGATTTAGCCGCCGAAATCCCTACCGCCCACCTGGAATCCTGAAACGCCCACTTGTGGGCGGTAGGGACCAGGTTGACGACCCATGATCTATATGGTGGTTCAGATCTTCAGTAGTATTAGATGAGGGAATGCAGCTTGAACACCTTGATCTGGAGTCTCTACCCTTTCTGGATAAATATAAATTCCTTGTGCATGAAGGAAGGAGTGGTGGCCAGTGTTGTGTAACAGAGATGAAGAAATTGCAGAGAAGTGCAGTATTTCTAGTAAAATGGAAGCATAAGTAAGGAATGCACTTACAAATTTTGGGAGCTCTTGAAAGCTCCACTTTTATAAACTTCTGGATTTTTGTGAGTTCCCTTGGTCTCAGTCAGCAGTCCAGGAGATTGTATAAAAACAAAACAAAAAAAAACCCATATGGTTAGACAAACATAGTGTAGTATATCTAGATAAAACTGAATAAAATAAAAATGCACCCATGTGGAACTTGTGTATTGGCTCCTAAAATACAGCACAGAGTGGTATAATCTCCACTCTGGGATGCTGGTGAGCGACAGTCCTCTCCGAATATAATAAAACAGAAATAAGAAATATAGTGCACACTATCATTTTTGTTAGTTCAAATTGAAGGAAAACCACTTCTAAATGTGGAGTAAAGTGGGGTTTTGCTCAATCCAAACAGTTTAGGTGGTATGTTCCCCAACAAGTGGCATCCAGTATATGATTAATTAAAAGCATTAGAGTCCAGGATGTCTAAAATAAAAAATAAATAGATTAATCTTTATTCTGACACATAAAGCTAAAAACTAATAAAATATAGAGTAAAAAAGTAACATTAATACATCACCAATGTGGCTTTTTCAAAGTGTTACAACTATACTGTTGCATGGAGGATATACTTGTATACCTCAAAATATTTACAATAAGGTGCAAACCTAGATAGGCACCCCCCCTAAATGACAAAAACAACATCTAAACAAAAACCAGGATGCACACCACAATTATCAGTTAACTGCAAAACTTTATTAGAACAATATATACAGTATCTCACATTTGGTCTCAGGTGTGAATGGGGAGCAGGTGTGTTAAATTTGGCGTTATCGCTCTCACACTCTCTCATACTGGCCACTGGAAGTTCAAAATGGCACCTCATGGCAAAGAACTCTCTGAGTATCTGAAAAAAAGAATTGTGTTTAAGTATACGCGGGCCGCAAAAAAACAAAAACTTCAGATTTCATAGAAACGTAGATTTATTTAAAAAAGAATAGTATAAAAAGGTTGCCTAACTGACACTGGATGTCCTCACGCTCGTATGGCTTCAAAGTAAACATTTTAAGGAGATGTGCATTTGCATATAACCAATGTTTCAGTCCAACTACCTTGACATTTTAAAGGATCACTATAGGCACCCAGACCACTTGAGCTTAATGAAGTGGTCTGGGTGCCAGGTCCAGCTAGGGTTAACCCTTTTTTCTATAAACATAGCAGTTTCAGAGAAACTGCTATGTTTATATTAGGGTTAATCCAGCCTCTAGTGGCTGTCTCATTGACAGCCGCTAGAGGCGCTTGCGTGCTTCTCACTGTGATTCTCACAGTGAGAAGACGCCAGCGTCCATAGGAAAGCATTGTGAGACTGGCTGAATGCGCGCGCGGCTCTTGCTGCGCATGCGCATTCAGCCGAGGAGGAGGGGAGGGGGCGGAGAGGAGGAGGAGAGCTCCTCGCCCGGCGCTGGAGAAAGAGGTAAGTTTAACGAGTATGTTTTCCTGGCACTATAGTGGTCCTTTAAGAAAAATTTGGTAATGAGACTGAAATGGTGAATGTATGCTGTTGCACAGCTGTAAAAAAACAAATTACGTTATCTTGTTGATTTTCAAGTTCTATGAGTGTGTTCTGCAGTTTGGCATGGGAAAGAATTGGGAGGCTATTATGCATGTGTGGCAGAAAGCTGCGCGGCCAATCAGCATCTCCATGGGTAGCGTTCAGACCCAATCTAATACACTGCCCCCAAATCCAATCTAATACACAGCCCCCTCCACCTAATTTTATACACTGACCCCTAACCTAATACACTGCCCCTCATGCCTCCACTCTGATTGAATACACTGCCCCCCATCACCCTCTCCCAATTTAATACATTTACCCTCCCCCTAATTTAACACACTCTAATACACAGCCCCAATCCCTTCCCCAAGTTAATACACTGCCCCTCCCTCCTCCAAATTAATACACTGCGCCCTACCTCTAATTAATACACTGCTCCCCCTACCCAATTTAATACACTGTCACACTCCCTCCCCCAATTTAATACAGTGCCTACTCCCTCCCCCAATTTAATACACTGGCCCCCTCCCTACCTCAAATTAATATATTGCCCTCTCCCTCCCTCAAATTAATACACTGGCCCCCACCCTTCCAAATTAATATACTGCCCCTGACCTCAAATTAATACACTGCCCCCTTACTTTAAATTAATGCACTGGCACACTCCCTCCCCCAATATACTACAGTGGCCCCCTACCTCAAATTAATACACTGCCCCCCTCACTCCTTCAGATTAATACACTCCCCCAAATTTATACACTGACCCCCTCCTTCATTGGCCCCGTGCTTCCCTCAAATTTCACTTCACTACACAGGAAGGTCCCCCAAGTCCCTCTTCTCCTAGCTTAAAATGACCTGCCCGTCTTCCAGTTCCAGCTCTTCTATGCTCAAGCAGGCCAGACTCTCCTCTGGCACAGCGAGCAGGAGGGAAGGAGGAGTGGCTGGCCAGCTTTGCAGACAGACAGCCACTCTGCCCTCTAGTGGCCATGGGAGGAAAGGCAAGATTCAGACAGGAAATATCTTTCCTGTTTGGCTGGTTGCAGCCACAGGACAAAGTGGCCCCAGGGCAGGCAGGGGGCAAATATGTTAATTGTGGGCCGCAAGTTTGACATGCTTGGCCTAGGCTATAAGAAGATTGCTAAGCCCTAAAATTGAGCTGCAACACTGTGGGCAAGACCAAACAGTGTTTTTACAGGACAGGTTGCATACAGAAGAGACCTCGTCATGGCCGACCATAGAAGTTGAGTGCACGTGCTCAGCGTCATATCCAGAGGTTGTCTTTGGGAAATAGACATATAAGTGGGGTAGAGGGTCAGCCTGTCAGTGCTCAGACCATACACCGCACACTGCATCAAATTGGTCTGCATAGCTGTTGTCCCAGAAGGAAGCCTCTTCTAAAGATGATGCACAAGAAGTTTGCTGAAGAAAAGCAGATTAAGGACATGGATTACTGGAACCATGTCCTGTGGTCCGATGAGACCAAGATAAACTTATTTGGTTCATGCCCTCTACCCCCTCTGTTCCTGTGCGTCCAGTTTTCTGGTTACAACTACATGTCTGTTAGTCCACCCATTGTAAAGCACTACGGAAGCTGATGGTGCTATATAAATAATAAAATAATAATAAAAAAAGCTTGTGTGGCGGCAACCAGGTGAGGAGTACAAAGACAAGTGTGTCTTGCCTATAGTCAAGCATGGTGGTGGGAGGGTCATGGTCTGGGCCTGCATGAGTGCTGGCGGCACTGGGGAGCTACAGTTCATTGAGGGAACCATGAATGCCAGCGTGTACTGTGACATACTGATGTAGAGCATGATTCCCTCCCTTCAGAGACTGGGCCACAGGGCAGTATTTCAACATGATAACGAGCATAAACACACCTCCAAGACGACCATTGCCTTGCTAAAGAAGCTGAAGGATAAAGGTGATGGACTGGCCAAGCATGTCTCCAGATCTAAACTCTATTGAGCATCTGTGGGGCATCCTTAAATGGAAGGTGGGGAGCGCAAGATTTCTAACATCCACCAGCTCCGTGATGTCGTCACGGAGGAGTGGAAGAGGACTCCAGTAGCAACCTGTGAAGCTCTGGTGAACTCCATGCCCATGAGGGTTAAGGCAGTGCTGGAAAATAATGGTGGCCACAGAAAATATTGACACTTGGGGCCAATTTGGACATTTCCACTTAGGGGTGTACTCACTTTTGTTGCCAACAGTTTAGACATTAATGGCTGTTTGTTGAGTTATTTTGAGGGGACAGCAAATTTAAACTGTTATACAGGTTGTACACTTACTACTTTACATTGTAGCAGACTGTCATTTCTTCAGTGTTGTCACATGAAAAGATATAATAAAATATTTTCAAAAATGTGATGGGTGTACTCACTTTTGTGAGATACTGTATTTAACATATACAAAAATAGATTTTCAGTGTTACAGAACACAGGACCAATACTCCTTATATACCTTGTCTACACATACGTCTCCTGTACACACCTTTAGAGTCTATGGACAAACTCCCCCAGCCTTTTAAAGGTGTATCACTACTGTGTATTTAACTTTTTGGGACTTTGTCTACACATACGTCTTCTGTACACACCTTTAGAGTCTATGGACAAACTCCCCCAGCCTTTTAAAGATGTATCACGATTGTTTATTTAACTTTTTGGGGGTCTTGACAAAGGCTGTTATCAATGCCGAAACGTGCGTCGAGCATCTTTATGCCGATGCAACTACCTTGTTTTTAATTATTTGGTGACTGGGGTGGTTTTTTTTTTTTCGTATCTATTATTTTTTTTGGCTTTATATGTTAATAAAGGTTTATACCACTATAATGATATTTTAACTTTTGGAGGTCTATTTGGATGGAGTGGGTCCCACATACTTTTAGTGGGTGGACCTCCCACTCCACTTTATAACTGTTCTTTTTTCTAATATACCCAGGGTTCACACCCTTTAGTATCTCTGTAACCTACTGTGAGACATCAGTGTTGGTTGGTCCTGCACTGTAGTCTCTTCTTTGCTTCACTTTTGTTTCTGTTTATACAGTCCTAACTACAGCTTCCTTGGTTGTGACTGATGCAGCCTGCATGAAAACAAAATTGATTTATTATCAATCAGATGTAACTTTCTTTAAAAAATGTAATCTCCTGCTTTGTAAATTAAACTTTAATTACATACAGGTGGCTCCTGTAGGGTCTAGCAATCTATTAAACAGAGCAGGAGAAAGTAAATTCTAGATTAAACAGAATTTGCAATATAGGAAATCTAAACATTAGATGACTCGTTACAGAAAGTGTTTATGAAGACTGTTTAGTCACATGCAGGGAGGTGTGACTAGGGCAGCATAAACAAAGTGATTTAATTTCCTAAATGGCTGAGACATGAGCAGTGAGACTTCAGGGGCATGATCTATACACCAAAACTGCTTCATTAAGCTAAAGTTGTTTGGTGACTATATTGTCCCTTTAATTTGTATCATATATTAACAATTGACAGGTGACAAAAGGACCAGGAAATATTATTGTGCATGTGTTTGGAGGCTGCTTGTGGGATTGTGTGCATGTAGTGTGGGCTGATCCTGGTGTGGTTTTTCAGTTTTGTTGTGTTTGTGGTATAATATGTGTGGCTGTAGAGAGTATGTGTGTATAGGTCCTCTAATGTGTGAAATATTGGGGGCATAGTGTGTGTGTAGGGGATGCAGCGCGTCTGTGTTTTTGTGTACAGGGGATTTAGTGTATTTATATTGTGAGAAGAGAGAAAATGTATATTTCATTTATTAACAAAAAATGTCTGCTCTGGATGGGATTTCTCTGCTAGCAAAACTAACTTCAATCAAGGTAGTTGTTGCAGAAGATTCATATTTATTGTGACAGAACATTTTTTCATATAACGAGTTATGTTCTTCACAACTGGAAGATTGGATTAAACAGCATCTTGTTATTCACTTAATTGGGAAAATGTATTTGTCACTTACAGTTTTTGTGTATATGACAGGACAGTTTCATGGCTGTTTTTGTGACATCAGGCTCACACACAGGAGGGTGGGACTTCCACAACCAAACAGCATCTAAAGGGGGGGCGCTGGCAGTGGATTTACTGCTTGTCTAGCTGCCCCTCATATAAAGTTGAATTGATTACAGGGCCGGTGCAAGGATTTTTGCCGCCCTAGGCAAAAGTAAAGTTTGCCGTCCCCCCATGTGACATCACAATGCCCCACCCATATGATCTGCCATGTTAACTAACGCCAGTGCTGCAGTCAGTGCTGCAGTGACGCCGTGTTTACATTAAAAGGCCTGCAGGGACAGGATACAGACACCAGAACCACTACATTAAGCTGCAGTGGTTCTGGGGACTATAGTGTTTCTTTAATGTGAGGTAAATTAGAGATTAGTGCCATGAATAATATACTAGCTTGCCTACTTACAACCAGATGAGGATGATGATGGGCTCTAGCTGCAGTCTGGCTCCACTGGTCTGGTGTAGAACAGGATCTCTGGAGGCTGTTTGTAACTGTGGTCACAAAATCAATGTTCTGGGAGAACGGTAAGCAGCTCCATTTTTTGGGGGGCCCTTTACATGGCTCAATGTCTGGGTCCCAGGGTCCACCTTCATGTTCCACCAATGAGTTTGTTCACAGGGGGTGGAGTGTGTAGGGGATGTCCTGATATGTGTGTAAGGAATGCATTGTGTGAATCTGTGTTTGTATGTGTAAGGGCTGCAAGGTGTGTTTCTGTGTATGTACGGGATGCAGTGTGTGTGTCTGTAAGGGATGCATTGAGTGTGTGTAATGAATGCATTGTGTGTTTCTGTGTGTGTAAGGGATGCATTATGTGTAAGGGTTGCATTGCTTGTGTATGTGTTTCTGTGTGTGTAATGCATTGTGTGTTTTTCTGTGTGGGTTGCATTGTGTGTGATTATGTGTATGTGATGGATGTCAATCTCTCTCCCCCCTCCTTGTTACACTCTCTTTCTCCCCCCCTCCTTGTCACATGCTCTTTCTCCCCCCTCCTTGTCACACTCTCTTTCTCCCCCCCTCTTTGTCACACTCTTTCTCCCCCCTCCTTGTCTCTCTCTTTCTCCCCCCCCTCCTTGTCTCTCTCTTTCTCCCCCCTCCCACTTGTCCTCTCTTTCTTCCTCCCCCCACTTGTCCTCTCTTTCTTCCCCCCCTTCCCAGTTTCACGGCTCCTCTCCCCCCCACCTCAAATTTGTAAGCGTGTGAGCCCTCTATTGGTCCATGGTACAGGGCTTTTGTTTCCTGTACCCACGGCCCGGACTAACAGGAAGTGCACACTCAGTGTGTACTTCCTGTTAGTCCGACTGGGTACAGGAGACAGATGCTCCCTGTACCCGCGGACCAATAGAGGGCTCGGCCACGCTACAGAGAGGGAGTGACAGGAGGGAGCGCTGAGCGCTTCCCTCCTGTCAGCCCCTCTCCTCATGCTGCGCCCAGGGGGGTGCGGTCCGCCCTCATGGACGCACCGCCCGGGCAAAGCTGCAGCCGCCTGAGGCTCTCTACAGAGCGCTCGGGCGGCTGCAGCATGAGGGGGGCCCGCGCTCTGGCGGCGCCCCTTCCTTACACGGCTGCCTAGTCCGCCTAACAGGTAGCGCCGGCCCTGACTGATTATATAGAGCAAGCCGCGTTACCGGGCACTAGGGAGCACTTACTTGTAGATTAGCGCCCGGTAGAACGTCGGTCCGGCATTCACCACAGCCTGCAAAGTCAGGACCCCTCTCCCAGCCAATCAGAAAATGTTAGCTGTAAAACCATTTTAAATTTACATTCTTATCTTCTTGTGGCTGTCCAACCCTCCATCCCTAATGATTTGCCGTTAGAGGAGTATGTTTCGGATTTAATCTCTTGTTTGGTCACGGTGGCGTGTGATGGATAGGATAATTGGGGGTAGGTCGGCTTGGTAGGTGGGATAGTTAAATTCAGGAGGATTACACACTGCATCCCACACACATACACACTGCATTCCCATTTTTATATGGGATGCCAGCACAGCCTTGGCCATTATCTCCAGATTGACAATCCCTCTAAATAAATTGTATCTTGTATAACTGCTACACCTAGGCATGCACAGCCTATTGCATTAGGGTGTGCACCCTAAAGCACAAACATGCACCGCGTGTATATGTATTTTTATATATATACATACACAAACATATACATATATATATATATATATATATATACATACATACACACACACATATATATATATAAATATATACAAATATACATGGGGTGCAGTGTGTGTGATTGTGAGGGGTGCAGCGTGTAAGGGGTGCAGCGTGTAAAGAGTGCAGTGTGTATGATTGTGAGGGGTGCAGTGTGTATGATTGTGAGGGGTTCAGTGTGTGTGGGGTAAATTGTGTGTGATTGTGAGGGGTGGGTTGTAGTGTGAGAGAAGCTTTGCCGGCTCGCAGAGGGGTCTGAGCGGGGAGCAGCCTTTTAATTTCATTATACTTATTTTAATATTTTTAAGTGTTTACCCCCACCCCCCTCTCCTACCGCTGTTATGCTACTTGGGTTATTTGGATTGGAACTCAACTGCAGCTTGTAGAACTCCTTAATTATAATAAAGAAACGAAGAATCTTTAAAGTATCAATATTGTAGCTTTAAGAAAAGAGAGGATTGCTGGCAATTTGAGAATCAAAGTTTCAATGATTGATAAACTTAAATGAATTGCATATAGGCAATAATCCAATAAGAAGAAAGTGCAGGTTATCAAACAATACAAAGTTCATTAATAAGTATTTCCTCAGAGAAGTATTAAATAAGATTCTTTAGGTTGCTGGGAATATTCTTCAATAGAAACATTAAGCAGGTAGCAGAGAGTATTTGCAAAGCAAGAAACAGTTCATAGTAAATAAGCATGATGGGAGTTGTCCTCCATATAATTAGTAACTTGAAGTAGAGAAGATTTGAGCAAGCAGGAATTGGTTCATTAATAAATGATATTGCAGTCATTAGTTGAAAGATATACTTAAGGTTAAGGTAAGTTGTCCTCCAAGAGTTCAGAGTTATAGTCCACTTGTAAATTAGCAAAGTATCCGTTCTCCAGTAATCCTCTATGGCATGCAGCAATCCTTGCATTGGCTCAAAGGCTGGGACGGCTTGTCAGAGCTTGTGGAGCCGGCGTGTATACCCGGAAGTAGGTCCCACAATCACCAAGCGTGTTCTCCCTGGCGCGGTCTCCCTAAGTACTGTCAGAGCCGCGTCAGAAGGGGGCGGGGCCGACTCCGCAATGCGGAAGTGCCGAACCCGGAAGAGATACCGCATTACAACCGCCTTGTTTCTTACCTGCATCCAGGGAGGAGGGGTGGGTGGTCCGGTGACACTGTAGGGGCTCTGCAGCTCTGCCGGGTTAAGGCTCTGTCACGAGTCCCAGCACCACATGGAATCGAGCGTTGCCATGTGGGGCCTGAAAGTGTTTGGGAATGGTGATAGTGTATGTGTATGGGTATGTGTATGGGGTGACCATGTGTGTGTGTGGGGATGATAGGGTGTGGGTGGGGGTGACAGGGTGTGTGAAGAGGGGCTGTGGCAGGGTGTGTGTGCGTGGGGGTGACAGGGTGTGTCCGTGGGGATGACAGGGTGGGGGTGGTGTGGCTGTGACTCAGGGTTGAGTGGCTGTGACTGGTGATGCGTGGGTGGAGGAGCTGTGACAGGGGGTGTGGAGGAGCAGTGACAGGGGATAGGCAGAAAGGAGCAGTGACGGGTGGGGGAAGGAGCAGTGACGGAGTAGAGGGAGCGGAGGGGCAGGGACAGGTGGTAGAGGGGCAGTGACAGGGGTAGGGGGTGGAGGGGCAGCCAGGGGTAGAGGAGCAATGACAGGGGGTAGTTAGGCAGTGACAGGGTAGATGGACAGTGACAGGGGGTAGGGGGGTGGAGTGGCAGTGACATGGTGTAAGGGGGTGGAGGGGAAGTGACAGGGGTAGAGGGGCAGTGTCAGGGGGTAGAGGATCAGTGACGGGGATAGTGGGGGTGGGGGGCAGTGAGTGACAGGGGGAAGAAGAGGGTGGGGTGGCAGTGAGTGATGGAGTAG